CGACCTACAAAAAAAATTTGATTAGGAGGAAAATGAACTTGAATTGGAAGGCTAGCCCAAAGATGGTGAAAATCTAAATTTTAGGCCTCATTTTCGATTTTGGTGGACTCTGTAAAAGGAAAGATGGTTTATATAAAATGGATATGATGGTTAATATGAAGTCTATTGTTTTTAAAGTCAAAGCAATGATATCCCATCCGTGATGGACTATAGCCCGTAAAGAGACATGGTTTGGATCAAAAATCTATTTTATTTTTATTATAGTGGCATAGAATAGTGAAACATAAACTCTTAAATTTTTTTAGAAAGGAATAATTGGGTTTTTTAATTAAAAATAAGTTCATATGGAGATTTATTTTTAATAACGAGAAGATGACATCCCGTTAATCAAGAAGATAGCAGTTTCAAAAGAATGATGCCAAAATTTCCTTAGAAGGTGGGCCTCTCCTCAAAGATTGAGGCCCATTTCCACACTATGACGATGACATCTTTTTTATAGTGTTATTCTATTCATACGTAGGCACATTATATGATGAATTATTCCATTTTTTTTTAATCTTCAAGCCTTCAAAACTCATTCCGCATATCTCCAAGCAGACATCGGATTCATTATGTTCTTGTCATGCTTGGCTTATGAAATTATAATCTATACTTTCAAATTTATCATAGTTGTCTTGTACAATCTCATGCAACTTCATATTTCTTGCAATTCTTTCTAGTTTTTTCATAAAATGCTCTATAAGTACTTTGTAACTAACCCTAGAATTTGTGAAAGACCAATCATAATTGTGCTTCCGATAGTAGGTATTCACCATCCATTTTTTACTTTTCCCATCAATAGAAATCAACGAACTTTCAAGGATAACTTTCATCGGTGTAAATTGTCTTATATCTATTACTATCATTCTTCTAGAGCTCTAAATCTCTCACTATGGATGCCATATTTAATCATGGCAGCTTTAACTTCCTTCTTGTTCTTAAAAATCATGCAAAGTTGAAAATGAGAAAACTCGGTTGTTGGATCATATTTAACCAATCCGATTCTCTTCCTAATCCTAGGTTCTTTATCACTCGTTAGATATGTATTTCTTCCTTTATTCTAAATTGTAATACTCCTCATTCAATTTAGTTTCAAGTTTTGCCAACTCTACTCTTAATTTCCTTCTCTCCTTAGAATTATTCTCTCTATTTTTGCCCAATCGCCTCTAGTAGTTCCCTCCATATTTCCCTCTATAACTGGATAAACTTTACCTAAGACTCGCTTTTATCTTTTTAACTTTTTCTCTAACTTCTTTTGATTCTTCATCATTAGATACCCACCGTACATCCACCCAATATTTAACATCTTCAACATCATCATATAGCTCCTCATTTAGCTTCACAATTATCTATTTATTAACATTTTGATTAATTCTACTTAACCGGGCATTACTACCCTCACCAGTATTCATAACACCATGCCTATTGGACTTTACTACCTTCATTTGTTCCATGACAACAAAGCCCAAACCTATATGGATAAGTACTACCCACAAAACTAGACGCATTTATTTCTTCAATTACATCATCATCTTATCGCTCACAATTAAGCTTACCAATCCACTATCCATTTCATGGATTCCAAGCCTACTACATACGACTTTCGAGTTATAATAACCAAGCAAGGGGTGTATTGACTCGGCTTTCTCATAATATAAGCCAACAACAATTTCATCACATAATATTTTTATTACGAGTAAACAAAATATCATCCTTCACTTCCAACCCACTATCCATGGTCATTGATTCCAAGCCTACTACATACGGCTTTTGGGTTATCATAACCAAACAAGTGGTGTATTGACTCGATTTCTCATAATATAAGTCAACAATAATTCCATCACATAATATTTTTATTATAGGTAAGTAACTAATATCATCCTTTATTTTCTTAAGACTCGTTCAAAAGTTAATTTAGAATCAATATCTTTATAAAACACTACCTTACACTTCTCATATCTATGTTTCTTATCCATATCTAAAAATCCTTTAAACTCGTATTAAGTCGGGGTCTATATTTTTTCTCTCAATAATCTCCCATGCACTAACGGACAAACTAAGTCCTTTTTGTAATTCAACCCCAAAATGAAGCTTTAATATATACATTTCACTTGATACTATTACCGATAAGACATAAAGGCAAACAAAAAAAAAGAGCAAAAATTAAAAAGTATATAAATAGAAAAAACATAAACAAATACATAAAAGTCATTCAATTCAATAAACAACAATATTGACAAAACTCATAACCGACAAAACCAAGGTAAGGTAGTATTTTTCATAAACCATTCAATTGAAAACTCATAACTAACAAAACTAAGGTAAAGCAATGTTTTTCATAAGCCATTCAAACAAAATCCAAACCTATTGAATAAACAAATCTTTCAAGTAAGGAAAACAATATCCATTCAATAAACAATAATATTCATAAAAACCCATTCAAAATGCAATCAAAATGGCAACAAGCATAGTTTTTCAAAATTGAAAACTTAAAATTTTATAAAATTTCGTAATTGTTTACCTTATTAACCCTATACAAACCGATGAAGATGCTAGAAAATGATACCTAATCGAATACACTACCAATATCGTCCTTCACCGAGAGATCACAATGAACAATTAGGGTTCTTCTTAGGATTAAGAAATAAGAAGATGAAATAGACGAAGAGAAGAGATTGTTTACCCGATTAACCCCATACAAACGGATAAAAATGCTAGAAAAGGATGCCAATCGAATACACTATCAATATCATCTTTCACCGATCAATCATTATAAACAATTAGGATTTTTCTTAGGATTGAGAAAGAAAAAGATGAAACAAACGAAGAGAAGACAAAACAAAAAAGATGAAGAAGAGAAGATGAAAGAGAAAAAGAAGAAAAGATGAAACAATCTTGTCAAGAAGACGAAGAGGAAGACAAAAAGGAGAAGAATTTCAAACGAAGGAAGATGAAGAGGAGAATAATTTCAAACAGTCTTGCTAGGAAGGAAGATGAAGAGGGGAAGACAAAGAGGAAATGAATTTCAAACAAAGGAAGATGAAGAGGAGAAGAATTTCAAATGATGGTATCTATTAATAAATCTAATGTCCGTTCATTTCGTTTGTTCATTTCGTTTAGGATTAAATGTTAGGTTAATTAAGTCTTTTCACTTTTTTTTTTAATTTAACTCTTGTTTTTTAATTTACAAAATCGTTTAAAAAAATTCTTTATTTTTGTTTTGATTTATACCGATATGATAAGAGCCTAAATTGCAACGTGTTGTTATGTGATTAGTTATCATTAATTTTAACTTGCCACGTAGGATGAATAATTAACGATGTTATAACGGAGGGTCTCAATCAATAAATTTATAAGAGCGTAAAAGTTTCAATTAAGCTAAAAAATATTAGAGGATCTTAATCAAAAAAATTAAAACTCGTATAAGAATTAATTACGAGTAAACCTATTAAAATTATCTAAAATCGATCTCTAGTTGTTACCCGGAGCAAATATTTTGGTCCAATATTATTGACAAAATTAATTAATCTCGATGCACGTACTTATACCCAGTATCTCCTTAAATACTAATTTCAGTTCTCTTTGTCGGTTTCCATGTCGGCAAGGACCAGGAAAACTAGAACTCCGGGGGGGTTATGAGATTTCACGAGCTTTCTTAATATAATAACCCAAAATATTTGCCTTAAGATTTATCATGTGAATTGATATCTATACATACCAAGACAGATGGTATCCGCTCCTCTATGTGTATATGAATTTTCTACAGAAATTGCATTTTTCAAAAGTGATGTGCTCATCATTTTTCAAAAGTGACGGTGGTGCCACGTTTCAACACTAAAAAAAAATCATTTAACAAGGATTTTAGCCATCGTTAATTTTAAGGACAGTTTACAATTACCGCTAAAAAGTTTTTCGTTAATTAATTAATGATAATTCAGACATTCCGTCGTTAATTTAGTGATGATTTATTTATCACTATTAAAATTCCATCACTATATAAGAGTTAAAAATAAGTCATCAAAATAGTCAAATTCTGCCACAATTTTTAAAAATCGTCTAAACGGTCACAAAAATAGAGTGGATTTCGTCGCTAATTTTAGCTTGTATACGACATCGTATAGACATACTTTGAAGAAACAGCAAAACAGTGAAATATAAGACATGCAAAAAGGAGTCATATTTCTGTCAACAGAAACATCTTCTATACCACTCCACTGTTTTTGGATATCCTTAATGAAAATTCTGCAACTATAGGTCCTAAGAGTACCAATCCAGACATGCAAAACGACTTCAAATTCAATTATACAAAAGAGAAACAGTTTGACATCCACATACTGTGTCCAGTTGCTTAGAAAACCAGTGATTTACTTCATGCAAGATGAATCTTGAAGCCAGTACTGATGAAAGTCAGAGTATGCTAAGTAGATCCCACCCTCTGCATAATAATAATAATAACAATGATAATGATAAAAGTAATCAAAAGAAAAATTAAAGGATTAGTTGGATAGAATAAGGAAATAAAAGTACTGCACAGATTTTCGTTCATATCTATGTGTTGATACCCAACATAAACCGCAGAAAAGAACGAAGCAAAAGAGGCTAAAAAATACTGCTTTTTCTACTAGCAGTTTAGAATCCAGGCAATGAGAATTCTCTGCCAAAAGTATTGATTCTTAGATCGCGAACTATACTCCAAAATTGGAGGTCAGTGCAGAACTGCATATCGAAAGAAACTTGCAGCTAATGCAAGATCTAGTACATAAGTTGAAGATCTATACAAAACTAATAATGGAAATGTCAGCTAGAACCCTGCACGTGAACTGGTCTTGCTGCCTGGGTGTAAGTTTAGAACTAATGGATGTTCATGGGACCTCAAAAACAAGCTACGTTGAGCAAAAGCCAGTTTCTTCGGGTTAAATCCTCTGCTAAGTTGACTGGAAAACATTTGCATTAAGAATTTGTTACTCCATCTTTGCACGCTTCAAATGAGTTTCTTTCATCCAATCAAGGCATTCCTCTGCAGTCCCTGTAGGATGAGCAAGCTGCCATGCAAGCAGTTTTTGTTGCTGCAAGGAAGGGATAAATTAGAATGTATAATTCCACAATAGTTTCCAAGTAGAGAAAAATATGCCTTATCCACTCCCTAACAAGCGGTCCTCCAGATTTAAGTTGCAAAACAGTCATGATGTCCTTCCCATTAACCAACGGCTTTACATCCCACACTTTTTCAAGACCCGCATCTCAACACATACTAAAAATCAGAACATGCAAGGATGGTTCCCAGCCAATGACAAGGGCTCTAGTACACATAAGATTTGGGCAAAACCAAAATAAATAAATATACTGGAAAACGTGGGAGGTATTGCCTTGTATATTTTAAAGGTTCTTCAGCTCCAAAACTTCCTTCTGATTTTATCTCCTTGAAGAAAATGCTGAAAAGCTATCGTAACCAAACTCCAAGTCTTCACCCTGTTGAGTCACTCATCACATTCAAGAGCCAAATTCCATTCTAATTACATCAATCATTTAAAAACATTAAAACAAATCGTAAAGAATCAAAGGAGTGGTTGGATGAAATGGAGAAGAAGGAGAAGAGACATGGAACTTATACCAACAAAAGCTTCTCTTCTAGCATAAACTGCTCATACCTGAAGAATAGAGTATAGATAGAGCCATCTGTCAGTCAATCTCATAAACAATAATGATGATAATGATAATAATAATAAAAAAAAATTGTGAAGAAATAAAAGACGAGAGTGAGAAGTAACTGGGAGAGGTCAGAAAGGGAGAGGACGTTGGAAGGGGGAGACTGGAGCAGATCCAGTCGAGGAGAGGGCCTGCGTCTTCATATTGGAAAGGCCACTCAAAGCTGTCTGGGTCTAGTGCATCTGCCCCTCCATACCCCAATTCTCCAAGCAATGCACATACTCGATTTCCACTCATTTTTACTTTCTTAGATCTTCTTCTTCTTCTTCTTCTTCAATTCAGTGTGCATTTGTTCTTGCAAGACTTGGAGTTTGGGCGCTGGCCTGATTGAAACCTGTGACCACTTCTACTTTTTGTTTTGTTTTCGTTTTTTAACTTTCTTTCTTTCTAATAATAATATTGAGTAAATTATAAATTATTTGGATCGAATTAGCGACGGTGACCACCGTCGCTAAAAACGAATCAAAATGATTGAATTCACGACAATCTCCCAAACCTTCGCGAATTTCTATTTTTTTCACAAAGTTTTTTTAAACTATCGTGAAAACCATTCAAATTCTTGATTTTTTAGTGACGATTTTGAAAACTATTGCTAAACACACAAAACACCCAAGAATTTGTATGTTTTGGTTGACCCTTTAGCAAACCGTCATGAATTTATGAGTTTTTAAAAATAATTTATAAAACCATCATTAAAAACTCAAAATTATAACGAACATTTGTAATAATCTATCTATATAGTTGTGAATTTTTGATTTAAGGTTTTCTAAACCATCACTAAAAAATAATCGTTAATCCTCTATTTTGTTGTGATGCAACATGAGCATGAGTTGTTAAAAGTGTTTAAGGAATAAAGATGAGAGAATAGTTGAAAAGAACACGAGAGACCGACAAAACTCGATCTAGAAAAAATAATTTTCTTAAAGATGCACTCTTTGACAAAAAAATAAAATGAGTGAAAGTTTTTTAAGAAAATTATTTTTATGTGTCCATTGTTGAACATAGAGTAATGCTTTTTTTATTAGGTGATACATGATGAATATGAGATATTTTAAACATGCTTTTTTGATATGTGTAAAGTTGTAATAGCAATGTTAGAAATACCAGGTTTTGTACTATCTTTTAGTTCTAATTGATCAATACCATCATAAAAATCGAATTGAGCGATACTTGTGAGGTTAGAAATGATATGATGAGTGACAACAGTATTGGAAAATCATTGAGCAAAGGGAACTAAACTGGTGGAAGTGTGTTCAAGACCATATTGATTGCCGATGAAAAAGGTTGCCGATAGCATTAGAAACATGATGAACAATGTGATTCTATTCATTGCATAGTTGGCAGTGCATGTTGTGGGAGGTGGAGGATTAATCCCTTGAGATTGTTTTTAGGGATTAGCTTAATTCTTTAGATTTTTTTTTAGACGATGTTAAGGGTGCACCTCTACATCAACATAATATATATAGGAATCCTAATATTTAAACGATATTTTTTACGGAGAGTACACGAGCAGAAGCATATGAGAAGCCTAAAATATTCTCAAATCAACAGCACAAGAAGGACGGGAGTCTTTAGATCTAATCTGCAACATATTTTGTGGGACCTAAACAACACAAATCCATGGACCAACCCATGATCTACAACAATTCGGAGAAGATTACTATTCCGGCCGTATTGGGTAGAGCGTGATTAATCCACGATGTCGATGGATGCATAGGGTGACTTGGAATAGTGTAGTCTTGTCTTGCTTTCCATTTATGAACCATATCCAAACTAGCTAGGGAGTGGTGTCGTACTTGTTGTCTTGCCATACTCCAATGTCATTCTCCCAAACCAAAAATTTAAAGCCGACATGTCAGTATACCAGACTATAGTCAACATATACAGCACTTTAATTAAGACTATCAAACATCGACTCTAGTTGTTATCCGGAGCAAATATTTTGGTCCAATATTATCGACAAAATTAATTAATCTCGATGCATGTACTTATACCTAGTACCTTTTTATATACTAAATTCAGTTTTCTTCGTCGGTTTCTATGTCGGCAAGGACCAGGAAAAGAGAAGACTAGAACCCGAAGAGGGAAAGGAAAAAAAGGACAAAAGAAAAAAGCAGCCCTTAGCTAAGTCTGAGATTTCACGAGCTTTCTTGATATAATAACCTAAAATATTTGCCTTAAGACTTATCATGTGAATTTGATCTCTATACGCACCAAGACAACTGTATCCACGCAATGACCTACGTGTATATGAATTGTTTACATAAATTGCATTTTTCAAAAGTTATCTGCTCATTTTTATGAGATTTAAGATTTTCTTTTTGCTTTCTAAATTGTTGTTAATTATGAAAGTCGTTATATTTAAAAATTTATAATCGAATAGAAAATCCTCTAAAGATATAGAAAAAAATTATTAAAATACCACCATTTAGAACATTTACATATTGTTTAAGTAAAGATTTTAGAAAATATAATGCATTAATAGTAATATGTTTACAATACAGGTACGTATAACGTTAAACACAAACTATGTAACTATTAGATATACTAAGAATTATAAAATTAATGGTTCTAATATCTATTTATTCAAAAAAAAATTCCAAAATTAATGGTGAATACTATCTATGTATGATCTAAAAGTTTGATGTTTATTTTTCTTCTGTATATATTAGACTTATGAGCTTTTGAGGCATTTAATGTCATAAAATTTTAATTCATAAAATTATGAGCTTTTGAGTGGGATTTACAGTTCAAGCTGTGGGAATAACACCACCAAAGAGAAAAACTTACGATAAATTCTTAAAAAGACTTAGACTCAACTACAACCAACTTGTTTTTAATCCAATTTTCTAACACAAAGTGTTTCTAAAACGAATTCTTAAGACTTCATCTTCTTTTGAGAGCACCAATCAGTGTCTATTGCACATGCTTATTGTTACTACTTACTAGCCTTTTATTGTTCAATGTAGCTAAAATGCTACCCATTTTACTCTCTCTCTCTCTCACTCACTATATCTCATATATATATATATATAAACACCTAATGTTATCCCTTAGAATAGGTTCATTAGGATTTAGGACCTCAATTTGGATTATTGGATGTAGCTTTGACCAAAAATTAACTTTATGATATAAACAAAGGGCCAAAATGATTTTTCTCTTTGTCCTAAGGAAGATCCAAGTGGTATCTATCTTTTTGCACATATGAGTACAGCAACTACAAACGAAGCCAAACTACTCTAGGGTATCTGCTAGCAAAAGCAACGACATATATTCAGGTTGGCGATACCAAATATGCAAGTTTTCAGATACATTAGCTCCATTTTTTGCAAGGACAATAAGCATGTAGTGTTGACTTCACATAACGTACGTATGGCACAAATTAAGAGTATCTCCATTGTCCTTCGAGGAAGGTCTTGAGGTCACGAATCAAGGATGCATGAGGGCAAGACCGATCGCTATTTTGACCCATAACCATACGAATTACGTTGTCAGCACAACATTCCCATAACCATGGCCTGGTCCCAAGTTAATCTAACACCTTACCTAATGCTCCACAACTTGGCAACCATGCATATTCCCATAAATATAGATAACGGAACAGAAAGCCACAAATCAAATGGTCCCAAACGAAGCTGCCAGCCGCCCGCCCCTCAACATGGCAAACGTGGGCGTTCTACCAATAGAATTCACAAGAATTGTCTCTATTTGCGAAGGGACGTTTTTGGCTTGAGTTGCAAAATCAGTAACACTACATTTTAGAAAATATAAATTAGAAAGGAAAGATTAGTATAATTTTTGTAACCATAATATATATATGGGCATTTGCTATGGCAAGAAATTATGGATTCAATTCCTACCATTTATTTAAAATTGAACTTTTTGCAAGAGATTGACCAAATAAATCCTTCATCTTAAAACAAACCTTTTTTTCAGCTAATCCATTTGCAAAATGGTTCCCATCACACATATTCCAACTGATTTTTTTAATATATATATATATATATATATATATATATATCCCACCAATCTAAGTACCTACACCAGATGCTCTAGTGGGGATGACAGTGCAAAAAAGGTTGATTAATTGATTCTTCTAAAATTTAACATATAGAGCAGAAAGTCTCATTATAGTTAAGAATAACTCTTTTATGTAAAACATTTCTGGTATTGATGATTTCCGAAATTTCCATCCAACATAAAATTTCTGCTTTTGGTGACATCTAGGCTTTCCAAATTCTACAGAAAGAATTCAATTGACAAGGTTAAGATGGGAGAGATAAAATGGAACACATAGACTTAACTAAGTAGTCTCCATCTGTAGTTGGTTTCCTTAGCAACCTATTAGCATCAGGAGAAAGAACTATATAATGTAGCTTGCTGAGATTAAATCATTCCATTTCCAATTCTCTTATACGAACAGGCCTTCTCCACCTGAAATTCCAAACCCAAAATAATCCATTCTACATTCCCATACTCACAAATAAATTATTCTGATCTTCTAACAATGCATATAGCCGACGAAATTGATCAGCAAAACAATTTTTCCCAGCCACGCATCACGACAAAAATTGCACGATTTGCCATTATCAAGTAACAAACCAAGCTCGCCCTACTCTATAAGTTGAATTTGTCCATAAAAATTAATTAAATAACTTGGTTAATGTGTTATTATATCCTGCTCTACAGTATTTTTGTTTTTATTTTTGACATAAGCCTAAACTACACCACAAATAGATTGGACCGAGAATGAGTCTCACTCAATATAGGGTCATTAGTTGTAAGGATGAACAAGGTTGTTCTAATAGGATCGGTGTCCATGTCTTATTTTTGGAATGCATGAGGAAGATTGACTTGGTAGACTTGGAGTAGAATCGCTAAAGGAAAGCCTAATTATTACTTCTTTTAGTCTTTATTAGTAAGTTAAATCGGTTTAGCCTTAGGAATCTAAATCCTTTTAACCAAATTTGACCGTCCAAACTTGAATGATGTGATATGATCTTAACAATTAAGGACAATCATCTGCTAAAGGAAAGCCTAATTATTACTTCTTTTAGTCTTTATTAGTAAGTTAAATCAGTTTAGCCTTAGGAATCTAAATCCTTCTAACCAAATTTGACCGTCCAAACTTGAATGATGTGATATGATCTTAACGATTAAGGATAATCTTTTTTCACTATAAATACCAGACCTCACATCATTGTGAGTGGGATTAGAACTTTGGCATCGGTGCATCGGAGAATTTTTATACTCGGAACTTATGATTTTTAGCAAAAGAAATCCCTAAACTCTTCATTTTAAAGATCTCTCACTTATACCCTAAACAACACCTAAAGCTCCATCTCGTTTGGACTTGGACAACTTACCTATCATGTGATGCCCCCACTCGGCCCACTCTCCTATTGCCGAATAGGAGTGGCCAACGAGGAGCGCGTCACGCCGACACGATCTAATCCCGACTTAAACTCAAAAATAAATAACATTATACATATTAAAACTTGTAAAATAAAGTTTACATAACATCAATGAATATAACTATAGAAAATTTCATAGTATTTGAAGATGCCATTTAACTCGCCTACGGACATCGAAACCCCCAAAATATAAACAAAATAGATTTTGCTATTTTCCCGTGTCACACATGAGCCCTTTTTTTAAAGGAACCAGCGAGCGTCGTCGATCAAACTATTGTTGTCCTTTCCTGCTAAAAAGGATGCAACAAAACAGAATGAGTCAAAGCTCGGTAAGTAGAGTGATGCACATGATATGCAATACTACCCGACTTCCCCATTTTTCTTATCACATTTTAATTTTGGATACCACAGGTATTAGCAAGTCTGTTTTATTCTCGATGACTGCCGAATAGCCTCGACAATCATCTATTGTCGAATAACCTCAACAATCATTGATCGTCGAATAACTTCGACATTCAATCATCGTCGAATAACCTCGGCATTCATTCACTCGCCGAATAACCTTAGCATTCAATCACCGTCGAATAACCTCGGCAATCACCTACTGCATAGCAACGAGATTATCCCTTGTTGTAGCCTTGGTGGCGGAATTATCCATAGTAATCATGCACATTTAATTCGGTTTGGTTACCAAACCTCATCTATCTCAATTTAATCATTTTCCTTTTTTCAATCCATGCTCGAATGCATATGATGCACGTGATGCTCATTCATTACATTTGTCGACGTCGGCCATCGCGAGAGGAAGGGGCCGAATCAAAGTAGTCACCACCTAGCTAATCGTGGAGAACTAGAAAATCATAAACATATTGATCCGCATGGATATTTGGATAAGGGGTCGATTACGTATGGGAAAGACATGTCGTCACCACCATCCCGTCCTACCTAAGGTAAGTCCGTATCGTTTGTCTATGAATCTAAAAATCTAGTTTTCATCATGTTATGCTTTTATGCTTATTAAATGAGTTTATCTTGTAAAAATATGGGATAGGATAGCTTTGATATAAAACGGGGTATTTGGAACATTCGAGTCGATCCAAGGTCGATATGTCCTACCCAAATGGAAAACGAGTAAAAAATGAGAATTTTTGCTAGTTATTAGCGAACATAACCTATTATTGAAAATGGGTAAGTTTTTAAAGATAAATAACCTTTTATTGGCATGAGCTATAAGTCACCGACGACTTCGCTCACACAAGTGGGAAGCCACCAACGACTTCAAATCACCCATTTAAAAAGTTATCGACAACTTCGACACGAAGTGGAAAGTCATTAACAACTTCATGTCACTCCATTGAGGAGCGAGATAATTATTTAGAAGCCACCGACGACTTCGTCACATAAGTGGGAAGCCACCGACGGCTTCATTGCAGACAAGACAGACATTAAATAAAAAAAATATTTTTAAGGCCACTAGCGATTTTGTTTTGATGAAATAAATCGAGAAAAATGGAAAACGAGTAATAGGGATCGAAAGCAAAAAAAAAAAAAAAGAAAAACGAGCATTACAAAACGAGAGATCGAGCATAGAAATCGATAAAATTGCTTCGAAGCCCACCGACGGCTTCATCATATAAGTAGGAAACCATCGACGACTTTATTTTGATGACAATCAATCATGGATAGACAATTAAATCATAAGATTTCACATTTGGACAACTAGGTATGCAAACCGGAAAGCAACTTAATTTGTCTTTTGATATCGGCTACGTACAACAATGTTTATTTCAATCACATTTAGATTATGGATATTAAAAAAAATGCAACAATTTCATTCACGCAAACCAATAGTCCAATCATTTTTAATCATTTGTCATTTTTTATAGAAAATATGCAATGGTTTTAGAGTTTTACCCAAGAGCTCGAAACTTCGATGTCCGAAACAAAATTAGTTGTACTCTCTTCGATCCCGATGAAAATTGATTGTTCAGTTAGTGGGAAAGGAGAGTAATTATCCAAAATTTCCTCCGTTACTTGTCCAACTACTCCAAATGTTGCTAAAAAATTTGCAAGGGTTCCCGAAATCTTGTAAGATTTCCTAAAAATCCAAAATGACTTTCTTGTCGTATTTTTCTATCAAAACCCAAAGAAATGCCGTCTATAACGTCATGTTGTTTCTGCTAATATAATCCAACACAACAAAAAAAACCATCTTAGTCTCTTTAAATTTTTTTTTTTTGGCTCTTATTTCTTCTTTTCGGGAGCTCCAAAAAGTGTGCAAGGGCTATTTTGAGATAGGTTTTGTGGGTCGTCTTGGTGGCTTTTTTTGAGATTTTTTGACACTATTTTGAAGCTTGTTTAGAAGTATTTTTAGGGTTAGTTTGGTGGTTTAAATAGTCTATCCAAAAGGGTTCTTTGTAACTCGTATTTGGGGACCATTGGTGGTCGTTTCGGGATTGTAAAGGTTCATTGTTGGTGGTCGTTTTGGTTCTAGTTTTTGGAAAGTTTTGGGATATTTTTTGGGGGTTTCTTGGGGCTATATTGAAGCTTGATTAGGGGTGTTTTAGTGCCTATTTTTATGGTTTAAATGGGCTTCCCAAAGGGGTTTCTCTGTAAGGGTTTTTGGTGTCTGTTGGAGGTCAGTTTCGGGGTTGATTTTGGAGGGTTTTTAGTGGGTTTTTCAAGTCTATTTTGGGGCTGTTGTTAGGGATAATTTTGGGGGTTTCTTGGGGCTATCTTGAAGCTGGATTAGGGGCATTTTAGTGGCTATTTGGGTGGTAGTTTAGGTGAGGGAAAGGTTGGCCAAAATAGGGGTTTTGTTTCAAGTTAGAAATGGGGGTTGTTAGCGGCGTGAGAGAGGGTCGCTATGGTGCCGTGCTTGTGGCATGAGGGAAGGCTACTTGTGGGGGCTGTGGCGGATCACTAATTAAATAAGAGAAGTTGAATAGCCTACTATGTTTATAATCATTAAGTGTAAGAGTGGAGATTAAACAAAAAATCAATCATTCTCTCCATTGTTATTAATATACTTTACTTGTTGTATTAATTTGTTTATTAAAGTAATAAATAACCAAAACCACTTTTTTCATTATTAATG